CCAGGAAAGTGGGCCCTAAAGATAAAATCCCTCAGGTTGGAGTCACAGAGGAGACGGAGATGTGCAGTGCCAGACCAATGTCAGCAAGGTGGTGCTGCCCCAGCCCTGTGGCACAGCAGCTCCTCTCACCTCTCTGAGGTGAATAGTCCATGAAGAACCGGCAAGAAACTCTTCAAGGCCAGTCATTTATGGATGTCCTAGTTTTGGCTGGGATAGAGTAATTTTTCTTTCTTGTGGCTGGTATACTGTTTTGGATTTAGTGTGAGAACAATGTTGATAACACACTGATGTTTCCCGTTGTTGCAAAGTAGTGTTTAGACTAAGTCAAGTATTTTTCAGCTTCTCACGCCCAGCCAGCAAGAAGGCTGGAGAGGCACAGGAAATTGGAAGGGGACAGAGCTAGGACAGCTGACCCAAACTGGCCAGAGGGGTATTCCATACCATGTATGGAATGGGGGGACTTGGCCTGGGGGCTGGATCGCTGCTCAGGACCTAACTGGCCATCGGTTGGTGAGTGGTGAGAAATTGCATTGCGCATCACTTGTTTTGTATATTCCATCCTTTTATTAGTAATTTAATTTTATTATTGTTATTATTTTCATTATTAGTTCTTCCTTTCTGTTCTATTTAACTGTTCTTCTCTCAACCCACAAGTTTTACCTTTTTTTTCCTGACTCTATCCCCCATCCCACTGGGTGGGGGGGTGGGGGGGGTGAATGGCTGCGTGGTGCTTAGTTGCTGGCTGGGGTTAAACCACAACACTGGATCATACTGCCAGTGAACTGGTCGTGTAGGGCAGGCTGAATCTCTGAACAGCACGCTATCTTCCCTTTCAAGTCAAAACAAATTAAATACAGGCCTTACCCAATTTTGCCTACAGTCAACACAGGAGGTTTTCTGTTGAGTTCAGCAGAGCTGGTTAAAGTCCTTTACTCCTAGAATTGGTTAATTTTTTGCACTGCGTGGTTTGACACTTTGCGTAGTTGATATCATGTTGGATGGCCAAACACCGCGAATTACCAAAGTGTCACAGATGTTAAATCATGAAGTAGATGACAGTGTGCTCGCTATGTCATATGATCTTAGCGCAGTTTGTGGAATAGTCTTTTTTATTATTGCAAGTAATCATAAGTGCTGAAAAAATACCATAAGTAAAATAGCATTTCTGAGTACAATGCACCCAATGTTCTTAATATATATACACATCTGCAATATGTTAAACTCAGACTTATGCCCATTTAATCTCAAGGATTTCAATGGAGTGTCTGTATGGAATGAAGGGAAGAGTTTGATCCCAGAATACTGAAGGGCTGCACCTTTTGGGAAGGCTTTATGCATTAGATTTCCACCTAGTTTTATGTTTATAATAATAAACACAGCATTTATTAAATATATAATTATAATACATTCTACACTAGCAATGGTCTGTCTAATGTAGGAATCATCTCATGTATTGTTTGCTTTTTCTTTGATGATTTCAGAAAACAGTGTATCCAGATAAATCTGATGTGTGGCCACGTGTTGAGCCACAGTGCTGAATGCCTGGTCAGGATGGGTCTGCCTACGGGCATGACCAGGATATCTATTCCAAGAGTCAAATTTAAGCCAGTCAGTGAGCAGGTGCGCTTGTGAGGGGAAAAGAGTTTGAAGCAGTTACAGCTCCCGTGTTCCTCTTCACAGATGTACGTCAGAACAAAAATGGATACTTCAGTCCTGCTCCCTTCTGCTATGGGACAAATTCACAAGATGGGGCAGAGGCACCTCTGCCCAACAAGAGTGTTTGCAAAACCACTGCTTAGCACTGCAACCAAGAGCGCACCAAAAGCAGGGCAAGAGAAGCAGCAAATGAGATGTTCCTAAATGTCCCTTAGCGCATAGGTGCTGTGTCCAGCTAGGGCACCAGCTTCTGTCCTGTGGTGGCAATACCATCCCTTCAGAAGGTGACCCTGGTGTCATCCCTCCATTTATATTGACTCTGAGGGGAGTTGAAGGTCCCAGTGATGGCAGCTGAGACAGAGAGACAAAGGCTGGCTCCAGCCATACTCATCCCCCCTCCAAAATACTTGGTAGGAATGATGTGTGGACCAAGTGTGCTGTACTGGAAAATTCCCTGGATATCAAAAATTTTGCCAGGCTGTCTGGGGTACTTAAAATACCTCTGACGCAAGGATTCTACTTCCAGAGTCCCAAAGATACCTGTTTCTATCTCTGAACCCCATGTACTTTTTAATTCTCTCAGTGCTGCCTCTGAACCTAGCCTCAACAAAGCAAAACAGAAGATATGCAGAAGTACAAGCTGAAAACAAATCGAAAAAAAAAGAAAAAACCAACCCCCCCAAATAGGGTAAGATTTTATTTGTACCACTGCAGAAATCTCTTTCACCTCAAACATCACCTAAAATCTTCTGGAAGGGGGCTCTGCACCCATGAATGCTTCCCTTTAAGCGTGGGAGGAGTTTGAGATGCATCAGCATCACACCTGCTGTATTGGGAGTTCATCCTTTGCTTTCCTGTTTCCTCAGCTGATGTCCAAGAACCAAGTGAGTGGGAGTTCACAGTACCTGCACGTGTCCACGTGGCATGTGGACAGATCTCCTGGTCCATGGAGTTACAGTAAAGGCTCATCTGATTTCAAGGTAAGTTCTCAGAAGTGTAGATGGCAAAATCCTTCAGAGACCTTCAGTGGAAATGTCACAGGTAAGGATGTACTACACTGTGTTTTCTGCACAGTTTTCAGAGAGCCAAAGTGTCTCACATTCACTCTGACATGCTGTGAGCGCTGAGCAGATCCCACTGACCTCTTCCACCTCCACCACCTCGGACATCTGCATACTCCATAGTGGGACCCATAGTGAGTGACCCAGAGTCTGATACTTGTATTTGCATGGTGCAGTATCACACTCTGTAAATGCTTCTACAAACTTTCTTGCTAGTAGGAGTATAACAAGCAGCCTTTAGTGTGGCCTAGATACCTGCATGTATCAGTATCGCCCGAGTCTGCCCGGCTTATTTTAACTGATATATTGCCAGATCCTGACGCTATTTTTCATGCTGCCTAATACCTCAGGTCATCCTATTAATTTCAGTAAGGCTACTCAGAGACTGCAATGCTAGCTACCTAGTAAATGAGAACACAATTTGGCTAGTTATGGTTATGTGATTGGATTTTTACTGCTAAGCACAGCGCAGCCTACCCAACTTATTTGATTTAGCAGGTGTCTTATTGGCATTTTAAATATTTTGCATATGATTATAATGCATCCTGAGGGGGGAAAAAACCCCACCACAAAAGTTTATTAGTGAGACTTCTTGCTCTTCCGCTAAAATATGGCAATCAAAAAGACAATTGACATTGCAGAGACTTGACCTTTACTTTCCAGGACTGTAAAATAAAACCCCAAACCCTACACTTTCTGCATCTGGTTGACATTTGAATAAAACTGCCAGAGTGCAAACAAGTTTTGAGACAACATCTCCAGCAAACTCTGCAGTGACTCTAAAAATGTTCTTGGCTAAGTTACTTTTTAGGGCCATATGTTGAAAAAAAAAACCCACCCAAAACTTCACTAGAATTTATTGCAACAAGAGATTTGCCAAACTACTTAAGACATTTGGGAAGATTATAGTGAAGTACATTAGTTGCTGACTTGACAATTTGCTATGCTCACTGCTTGTATAGTGGATTCTTGATATTCATGCTGAGAGTTGATCCAACTTTCTAGTACATTTTAGCAAGAGACCTGCCAAATGTCTACTGGCTTATTAAATGCTGGCAAACCAAAGGTCAGCCTTGTTTACGAGCCACAGCAAAGCTGCTGCGGATGGCACACAAGCCCCCCTCATGGCATTTTTCTTGTTTAAATTCAAAATTCCCTCACAGGCTTGGATAAGGACTGGTTTGGACTGGTTTTTGACTTGGAGTCTCTCTGGGTCTGCGCCAATGTCCCCTGGCCACGAACTTGGAGGCTGCAGAAGAGGGAGTTCAAGTTCCGCTGAGCCATGTTTCTTCCTTGCTTCGTCTGATGATCACCACGCCTGTGTGCTCCTGTTTACAGAGGCACGGGCCAGAATGTGCCTCCCTGGTGCAGACCCGACCAGCGGGCAGAGCCCCCAGCCGCAGAGGGCAAACCTGCCCTTCCTCCATGGCCCACCCGTTCCTCCTCTCTGTGAGCTCATCCCTTCTTCCCGGCAGCTGCCAGGCTGAGAAGGGTTGTAGACAGGAAACTCTGCTGCACCCTGTGCCTGATCCAACGCAGTCCATGTCCATGGGAAGCTTTCCGTTGAGGCCTCCGGAATTCCCACCAGACTTTCCCTAACTGTGCTCAGAGTGGCAATTCTGCGCTGCTCACCGTTACTGCTTTTGATATTAATCCAGTTTTACACGACTGAAGATTATCCTGGTACGATACGCACGTCTCCCCATAAAGGCTAACCCTTGCCCTCCTTACCAAAGCAAACATTCCTACAAAGGCAGTGGAATCACTGTCACAGTCAATAAAATTTACTTCCATATCATGCTATAGTGAACACATTGCCTCGACATTTCTTACATCCTTATTATATGCATTCATTATATTTATTTGACTGACATGCGGGAATAACAGAAAATTTTTCCTCTGACTCTGTACCTAGCTGCTTTACAAATATGTTAGGTAGCACGGTATTAAGAACCCAAAAAACTAAATGCTTGTTTAAAACACAAACGTAAAAAAAAAATAAATACCAAAGTTGCTTGTTCAAAACACGTTGAGGTACAATCAGTTTAGAAAGGTCTGTGTCATGGATAAAAGTCTTATTCTTATCCAGGTTTACCTTAGTGTAAGTGCTGTTTACAAGAGACAGAGGGAGTCTGATGTAGAAAATCTACATGTGGAGGAAAACTGCAAAAGAAATCACGGTTTTTACTGGTTGGCTAATACCGGGAAAGGTGATTTCTTTCTTCCCCCTCTGCGCAGGTGAGATCGCCAGGGAAATCTCAGGGTCTCCCCTGGAGGAAATAGATGGCAGCTTCGCGTTCCGCGGAGGAGAAGCGCTTCTCGCAGGGCCCGGATCCGGGGCTAAACCGTGCCCTCACGGGTGCCGCCGGCGCCGCCGCCCCGGGTCGCGCCCCGCGCGGGCAAGGGCGGGAGCCCCTGGCCGGGCACCGGGAGCGACCCCGGGGCGGGGAAGGAGGGGGGCCGGCGGGCAGGGCGGGGGCAGAGGCAGTTTGTTTCAGATTAAGCGGTCACATCTCCGGCCGAAGAAGCGGCGGGGATCTCCCGCGTTTGGCAATGCAATCTGCTCCCGACGGCGCGGGGAGAGGGCAAGATCAAAGCATTCCTCCCGGGGAGACTGCGCGCGGGGTTGCCGTTTGGTCAGCCTGCCCTAACCTCGCTCCTAAATTTCCCGGAGGAAGGCAGGGCCGGGGATGCCAGGAGCGGGCGGGCGGCGGCACCGGCACCTGCACCTGCACGCCCGCCGTCCCCGCCGCACGGGAGAGCGATGCACAGCAGGGCCGGCGCTGGGCGCCCCGCTGCCGCCGGCTCTCGGGGCGAGACCTGCGTGCGGCCCTCGCGGCGTCCCGGAGCCGCTCTTCCCCCCCGCCGCTCACGGGCCGGGACGCTGCCACCAGCGGCGCAGCCCCCGCCGCCGCCTGCGCGGCCCGAGGGCC